GTGTTGGGGATTGAACTCAGTACCTTGTGCTTGTGAGGCAGGTGCTGTATCACTGAGTTAAACTCCCTGTCTTTGTCGACTGTTTTCATGTGTATTCCCACAGTTTAGAGCAATATTTACAATCTAGCACATACCAGAAATACAAAGATATATATTTTTGATGAATAATGAATAATTTCAAATGTAGAACAGGATATGGAAGGGTTTAACTTGCAAAACACATTTACTCTCTACATTTTTGCTCTTGGGACTTGTTCTAGGATAAAATTCTCCTAGCCCACAGAAGAAGTGGTAATAACAGTTAATATTTATGGAGCTGTAAGAGATACTAGACACTAGTCTTAGTGCTTTTAGTGAATTAATTCATTAAAAACTGTATTAATCAGCTTTTCCAGCATGGAAATATAATACCAAACCCCTATAATCTAAAGGAGTAGAGATTCAATTTAACTCATAGTTTAGGGATATGCAGCCCATGGTTACCTGGCTCCCAGGCAGGAGTCTCATGGCAGAAGGACACCGCAGAGCAAATATGCTCAGGTTAGAGGAGGGCAGCAGAGAGGGGAACAGTGCCAGAGAGGAAGGGGTAAGGGACCAGACATACCAAGGCCAAAGCCATGCCTTCATCAATCACACAGACACCCAGAAAGTGTCCTCCATGAATGCTCTGGGTGGATCCCATAGCCAATCAAACTAGCACTCTATCCTAACCACCACATCCACCCCTTGTCAACTTGCTACTCAAATATATCTTAAATCATACTTAATCTTCAAAGAAAGACAATCTCATGATTCCACCTAATACAACTATCCAGAATACGACTGGAAATAACCCCGCTTCTCTTGTAGCAATTTTCTGTGTTAGCTTTCTTATTGGTGGGACCCCAAATCCAATACCTCCTTAAGGGAGGAGATTTTATTTATGTGGAAGTGCTCAGTGTAGCAAATGTGCTCAGTTTACGTCAGCCAGGAAGAACAGGAAAACAGTGCCAGAGAGGAAGGGGCAAGGGACCAGGCATAAAACCCAAGGCCACGCCACTATGGCTCACCGAGACACACCAGAAATGTGCTCTGCAAGTCCCCAGGACAGATTTCAAAGTCCACCCTAACCACCAATCCATCCTTCAAAGATATGTACAGTTATTAGTCTAATTAAGGTGAGGGAATAGAGGGATAAAGTAACAGAAGAATGAACTTGGAAGTGATGACCTAAGATTTAGATTCAGGAAAATTTAGTTCCACAGCTGTGATCATATTTCTAAAACCTACTAAAAACCCTCTTGTTAGCTTGGCATTCAAAATTTCAATACTCTAACAGCCAAACCCTCCTAGCCTTTTCTTTACTCATTTATTCACATATTCATTCAGCACATGTTAAATTTGTACTGTATGCTGCACACTGACCTAGGTCCCAGGACTAAAAAGCTGGATGACCTAATGTCTTTCTTCAGGTCTTTTGAAGGAGGGGAAAGGAAAAGATCAACAGAAATGTTACATCTTTATTTTTTTTTAATATTCAGAACAGCCAAAACTTTGATAACGTTGAGTAGGAATTTACTTATTTTATAACCTGAGATTGACCATTTATGACAAGTGATACACTTCATTATTTATGAGGCATCCTTCCAATACCTGAATTCTCCAAACACTGCCCCAGCTTTCAGAGTAACTAGGACTTGGGAACCATCAGGGCCTCCAAGAACTTGAATTTCTCCTTGCTTGATGATATACATTTCTTTACCAATTTCTCCCTGTATGCCAAATATAAAGAGGAAATAGTAGTCACTTTATTCTTAAAAAGTTGTTCCCAAATTAAGAAATACAAACTTTTATAGAAGAGTAAATGAAAATTAAGGAAGCACAGAATGTCATTGGAAAAGTGCTTATCTTAATACCTAAAGTGGTTACAGACATGGATTGGACATATCATATGAAAACACAAGCTCTCACTGGACATGTGAAGATACTTCTTTTAGCACATTGCTCTAGGAATGGTCAGGGACAGAGGAAGCAATTGATTCTATGTATGATTGAATCTGGCTTTGGTGACCACTCTTATTCTCTCAAGAATGTACTTGTTTTATCCAAAGAGCATGGATTGTGGTCATTTGAAGTTCAGTTCTATTCTTCTTCCTAAGGCATTGAAGTCTGATTTTGGAAATTTGGACATATAAGAATGCTATTTTTCTTATTCTACATTGAGAGGGAGGGTTAATGCAGCAGATTTTTTTACTCAGTTCTTGCTTATCTTTGGGGATTCTAGGAAGCTAGCACAATGACACTTGATGAAGCTGAGGATTCAACTCCTGGGATAGTTGCATAGTCAGTCAGTGGTATTGTTCTGTAGGCCTCAGGTGCTATGGAAGGATATATCGGGCCGTCAGCATTGTTTAATGTAAGCACAATGATTTCTGATGTGTACCCAGTACTTATCTTGAAGTTTAAGCCATGAGTAGTCATGTAACTATGAGACTTCCCCATTAAGAACCCTGGACCCAAGACTCAGATAGACTTCTTGAAGTAGAGATCTTTTGTTCATGACTGTGGTCCACTGGACAGAAAAATGTGACCTGCACAGTATAGGGCCCAGGATGTTTGTGCCGGATTTCTCTAATCTCTCATGTACATCTTCTTTTGTGACTGTTCCTGCCACCTTTGCTTTAATAGATCTTAAACTATAAATAACTTTATGTTGTCATGTGAGTCCTTGTAGCAAATTAGCAAACTGGTAGATAATTGTGGGGTTCTTGGATACATCTTCTCACTCCAACTTTCAAAAAGAATAAATAGGTCTTGCAAGAGACCTCAGTGATATTCAGCTGAAGAAAGTTTGTTAAATTTTAAATAGGCACGTTTACATAATATTAGGCAAATCATTTGAATAATAGTCCCCACCTATCAGAATCAGTAGGGTGCTGATCACTCTGGTCAGTTGCTGTGATCAGACTGTGTCCTCCAAATTTTATGTGTTGGATTTAATTTCCAAATTAATATATTAATGGTTTTGGAGGTAGGACTGTGCGAGGTGATCAGGTCATAGTTTTATGGATTATCACCAGACTGATTTTGTTGCAAAGGTCAGCTTTCTTTCTCTGGCAAGCTTGCTCTCTCTGCTCGTCATATGTTGCCCTGTGTCATGTCATGTCATGACCTAGCAAGAATGCCTTGATCAGATGCAGACACCATGCTCCTGAATATTCACAATATAGAACCATGAGCCAATACATTTTCTGGTCTGTGGTATTCAGTTATAGCAACAAAAAGTGGACTAAGATAAATATTTTAAAATAGCATGAATATAAAAAATTCATTTACTTGGTATAGGAAGGGGCTGGGTTATTTGAGTTAATCAAATATTCTCATTAGTCATATCTTCAAAAGATTAAATCAAATGAACTTGAGGTTGATTATAATCTATGCTCTGAGGTGGTTGAAGCAATATCTACTATGTTCCAATTCTGAGCTCAAGGCTTGATAAATACTAGGCACCCATTTATGAATAAGCAATATACAACTTAATGGACTCTAGGAAGTTTTGAAGTCTTTTGATTCCTAGGGTTGTGTCCCTGTCCCTGTACATCAGGTATACTATAATTATCAGGTTGAATTTAAACTTATCTGACTCTATCTCTTAGTTAATATCTGGGAAGTTGAAATACTCCTTTTATTACTCTGTTACAGTCATGAGGAAAGTAGAATAAGTAAGTACTATTATTTCCATTTTACAGAAAGTAAAACAAAGGCATAGATTGGCTTAGCTGACTAATCAACATATGACTTCATATTTAAAAGCAAAAAAGAAGCCCAGAAACCACATCTCCTAACAGCAACTGAAGAAGTATTTTTATATTTTACATTGTGCAAAATACTAAGCATACATTTATATGTAAGTATAGATTAAAGGAGAAATTGGATTGATTTATTATATTTATATAATAATAATATATTGCATAGTAGTTTAATACTCATAATATTTGATGTTTACACAGTCCCTTATTTTTAACTTCTATATTTCTTGTATCAGAACATGCTGCTTTATTGTTGAAAGGACTTCATAGATGTAAACTCATTTAATTCTTTAAAAAATCTCAGTGAAGACAAATAAGGAAGGTATAATTATTCTTCTCTAAAAATTGGTAATAGGAGCTTAGGAAGCTAAGTGTTTTGAGCAAAGTTGAAAGACAGGCAGGTGGCAGCCTTGGAACAGGCAACACTTATGTCACCTGACACTAGAATACATACAGACAGACTATATCTAATGATGAATCCAGTATCAAGACTGGTCACCTAAAAACCAGTAAAATAGCTATAAGTGATTTTGAAAAGCAAAGTATCTGAAAATTAGTTTTGCAGGAGATACTCCAGGAAGTAACGATTAGGACAGGGTCATATTCTTGATTTTTTGCATGAAGTAATTCTCAAGGAACTGGAATGATTTTTCAAAGGCAGTTATTACAACTGACTGGATGTAGAAGTACATAATGGCCACTTAAATATAGTTCAGCACTTTTAATTATTTCTTAATGATCATTTCAGTAATTTTCCAAGGAGACTTGGCATAATCAATGAACCAAAACTTTCAGTATTTCTCACATATTTCTAGGCTAATTTAGCCTTTCCTGCAAGTTTAATTAGCATTCCAATGAAGGAGACATTCCTCAGAGAATAAGGGCTGACAGCATGTGCAAAATAAGATCAAACAAGTTCTTGTGGTTGGTATATGTACTAACTTGGAGAGAATGGAGAAATGCATTAGTTTCATGCAGAGAGAGGTATCCCTTAGAGAGAGTGAATGTCAAAATTTCAGGGTCCCTGTGTAGGAGTCTACTTCAAAGCCCGGTGGGGAGCATTAGGACACTCAAGTGAACTCCATTAGAGAAGAGCAGTTCTGCTCTCAGCATGGTTCCTGGATCATCAGCATCCCTCAAGAATTTGCTTAGAGCTGCAAATTCTCTGGCTCCACTGCAGAAATATGGATTGGAATCTCTAAGAATGAAGTCCCAGAATCTATGCTTTAGCCAGATCTCTGGGTGATTTCTACATTGCTGCACAGCATTCTGGGAAAATTCCCAGATACTCTTAAAGCAGTCCAGACTACCCACATAGCAAGTTTAGAACATATTTTGAGGATAAGCCATTCAGCAAACTCAGGCTCAAACTCTGCCTATCTTCAATTATTTAGATAAGCTCAAACTGAACATATTTCCCTGCTTCCTTTTCCTATAGCATTTTGTGGAAATGATAAGAAAAATCAAGCTGAATGTAAATTTGATGAAGTAGCAGCCTTTCTTTTCTATCCATATCTCCTATACTGTAAATATTCTCCTAAAAAAAAAACCAAAAAACAAAAATGAAGACATGTGTCTTTTCATTTCTTCTCTTCCCTCTACATCTTCCTTTCCATCCTTCATTTGTGTTCACTGATTGGGTTTTATTATCATTTGATGAATGTAGTGTATAAAAAATTAGAAAAGAGAAGACTGCATCTCTACTCTGCATTTCGCACTTTGTTAAACAAATTTGCACTGCTTAGGGGCTCAAGTGCTAAAGTTTCTAGGACTTATCTCAATTTTCAGTCCCTGCTGCTAGAGGAACAATTTACAAGGCCATTTTCGTGCATTAGGCCATGTCGCTCCGATGCACCACTGCTCAAAAAGGTCTTTAAACTGCACTGGGGTTTGTATTTCCCATTTCAAAGAAAATGATTCATTCCTCAGTCTGCCTACTTTTTATATCTAATAGCTGCTTCTCAGTTGCTCTTTGATTCTTCTTCATTGACCTCCTCCATAAATGTTGGCATTCTTCAAAGTTACAGCCTTGACCTTCTTTTTCTTACCTTTCCTTGACCTCTTATTGAACTCAGCTTCCATTATATTCCAGTTCCCCTAATTTACCTCCAGTTTCATCATCTCTCATAAGACCGAGTTCCACTTGTGACCTGGAATTTCCAGCTGATGCCTGGAAGGATATCACATTCTACTTGACTCTTCCGTCACCTGTGTGACTCATTTCCAGTCCTCGATATGCCAAGCTCTGCTTTGCCTGTTGGCTCAGGGCTCCAACTCTGTGTCAAAAATACTGTCTTGTCTATTTTTTTCTTTTTCTTTTAAATGAAGAAATGTTTTTCTTTAGATTTTTACAAAGGTCACACCTGACAAACTGACAATTTCCCTCTCTCCCAACCTCTAGTCTAAATTACATTAAGTGCCTTTGTCACCGCATACTCTCCTGGTAACGTTTTTGTTTTCTCCTCATACAATGTCACACATTTTGGCACTGTAAGTTTATTTATTTCCCTTTTTTTATTGCTTTTCTCTATAACTTTGGCTGCATTTTAGAATCATAAGGAAACTTTTAAAAAATGCCCATATGTACACTCCATCCAGACCAGTTGAATACCTAGGCGTGGAGCCCAGACTCCTACACTGAGGTGATTTTGAGGTACAATGTGAATTGAATACCACAGGACTGGACTGTAAGGTCCTAGAGAACAACACTGTCTTTTTTTCTCTCAGGACTCAGAACACGGCCTACCCTATAGCACTGAAGATATTTGAGTTTTATTAATAAACAATTCTAAAGTTGTTATAACATTTGTCTTACTGCAGTCTTCTGTACTCCCCCTGCAGACACCAATTCTTTCTCTCTGCTTTAGCTCATGCTAATTTTTTCACTCAGAGTATCTGTTTCCCTTGGTTCATTCCAATTTATTTTCCAGTACTTGGTGTGAACATTTTCAGGAAATCTTGCCAGAAGCTAGGAAGGACCAGTGCCTTCAATTTATGCCATATAACAGATCATACTTACGGCCACTGTAGCACTGAACACATTATTTTTGAATGAAATAAAGTGTTTCTCATTCTCCCTTGCTTGTGAATTCCCTAAAGTCTTGGATCCGCTCCCATTAGTAGCACTGAACATTATTTTTGAATGAAATAAAGTGTTTCTCATTCTCCCTTGCTTGTGAATTCCCTAAAGTCTTGGATCCGCTCCCATTTTTTTGAACTGTTGTTTATTTTTTATTTGAATTATTCACATTAGCATTTAGCTAGCCTCTTGAAGTATAAAACCTAGGGTTATCATTTCTTATTTCCCCTCTAAAGTTAATGATCAGACATGTGCAAAAATATTTATCCAGGGGAATATTCACTTTAGAATTGTTTACATTAACCATTTGGAAATTGATTATATATCCATAGACTGGATATATTTTGTAGCTTCAAAGAATTGAGCTGTAGATGACAACACGATGTAAAATGTCCATGTGATATATTTTCATATGACAAAATATGTATCAGATCATATGTACAGTATGAGGCTTGCTTTATAAAAGAAGCTCATCTATTCTTCAACTTGTATGAGAAGACTGCCCAAAGTAGATGCATAGTGATTATTTTTGGTAATAGAATTTTTGTCTTTGTGTTTCGCGTGTTTTATAACTAAAAAATAATGAACATGTACTATTTTTATAATAATAAGTGCACAGTAAATTTTGAAAACAATTGACATTGTTCACTAACTGGGGGAGTGATTGAAGGTAACTGTTAGTATGCCAAAGACACAAAATGGTAAAATGACTTATTCCTGTCACTTATTCCTCCCCTTTAAATATTTAGAATTAATAGGGTGTGGAGATTGGCAATTAACATTTATACAAAGCAGATTTTCAGGCCACCTACACTTTTATAATATAAGTAATGAAATCTGTATTGTCTTGTTAAACTTTGAACTTGAAGAGTAAATTATTCTATACTATGGGATTTACTGTGGACAAATTTTGTTTCAAATATGCTGTTGACCTATATCTGAATTCTTCAAATTTTTTTTAGTTGTACATTTGACAATAGTTTGTATGGAAGAAGGGTGTATTTTTGTCCCTGGCTTCTCCCTTCTTTTTCTGATTCCTGCTGCCATGGAAGCATCTTTCTTCTGCCATGCCCTTCCACCATGCCTTTTTTGCCTTGGATCCACCCAACTGTAGGCTGACCCCACTAAAACTGTGAGGACTCAGATTATGGTGCCAGTGGGGAAGATGCCCTCAGTAGCATTTAGATGCTAACAGCAGAGGAGGAAATGACTGCCATGGTACAGAAAGCATCATGGCATCCATGGGTGGCTTCAGCAACATCATTGTCAACTACCAAATTCCCCACAGGTCTCAAATGGGGAACAAGTTTGAGACCACCTGCATCTCCTTGTGCAGGCTCTCTACCTCTCTGGGACTTGTCCCAGAACCTGGGCAGGTGGGTAAATGAAGCCTACACCCCTGCACAGTCTCTAGGGACTATCCTGGTACCTTTGAGTGGGAGCCACCCCAGCCAATCCTGCCATTGTCCTCCGCATCCTTGTCCCTCTTCCCAGCCCTTAGGAAATAAGAACCCAACCTTTTCCTAGGATCACAGGTTCAGGGGACTTGGCCCTTGGAAGAGCAAACAGTCTTCTAGGTCTGGGACACACTATCCTGGACAGAAGCCAGTGAGGGAGCTTTGGCCTTTCTACCAGTTGGGTGGGCAGAGCCACCTGGAGCTCAGGAACAGAGGAGAGGTCTGAACCTCACAATCCATCTTCAACTCTGAGCCCTCCAGAGCTCTGGCCTCTCTCTACCATTGTGTCCCACAGAAACACATTCAGGGACAGCCTGGGTTCCCGGTTCCTGAGGATAGAAACTTCCCAGACTTACCAATGGGGAACGGCTATGAGGCAAGGGGGAAGCCTACTTGCCTGATAAAGGATGGAAACAAGGAACAGTGGGCAGGTCCTCCTTCAGGAGTTGGGAGTGCTGGCTCCCTGACCCAGCTTGTCTACCAAGCTCCTCCCTCCTACTAAGGTCCACAGAACAGTACCTGTGGCTGCCAGTATTATCTGAGCCCAAGCCATCCCAAGGCCAGACTGAGGAAATGACTCTGAGTCAGAATGTCAGGTCTTGGTCTGTAATTTAAGGTGTTATATGTGGAATCTTGAACTATATATATTTTTGTTTTGAAAATTTCTCTTATTGGGGTGTGTTTGAAATACATAGTGGTGATGTTTGTTTTGTGGAATTCGTGCATGCATTTAGCATGTCTTGGTCACATTTGGTGCCTTTACCTGCATCTCCACTACCTCCCTCTTCCCCTTTTAATTTTAATTTCTAGTGGAGAAATCAAGGCTCTGATCATTTTGTTTTTAGTATGAGACTGTGATTTCCTTTCTGTTTGTCATTCATTAGAGAAACATCATGGTGAGAAGAGGGATAGTTTATTGCTAATGTGGGAAACGCCAATGATCTACATCATGAAAATGATGACATGCCCTCCAAAAAAATTCTACCTCAGTATCATATAATATTCAGTCAGTAGTATTAAAAGTCTTGTAGTCACATACATGTGTAGTTTAGATAATATTTAATAGTAATACCTTTGTTTGCAGATTGACTTCTATAGGAATCTGAATTTTTCAGTTTAGTTATTTCCATGTAATACATTGTTTTATTGTATTGAAACTATATTAAAATGCATATCTGTATTTCTTACAAAAAAAAGAAATTCGTGTCCTCTTACCTTTTTGCAGACAAAGTCACCAGGTAAATAGATAGTGGATTTCAATCTTAGCAGTATGTCATAAATCATCTGGCTATCACAACCCTATGTAAAGAGAAGCATAGTTCTTACTGACGCAACTAAAAGGCCAATATTTCAAATGAATTTAAAATGCAAAGGAGATAAGTAAAATAGATTTAAACACTGAAATTTTAATTGTCTTGGGTATGGACTTGCCTTTACCCGAAATTTAGATAAAGATACCCATAGAAAAATGGCAAGAGCTTGAGACTCGATTAGGTAAATTGGGCGTGATCTCTTTCTATGAAATTCTTATGGTCTCAGTTTCTCAGTCTATGAATTGCCTATGATAATGGGAAGGGAACCAAGAGACTGAGGGTAGAGGAAGAGAGGAGAGGAAGGGGATGAAATAAGATGTAAGATGTGTCATGTACATGTACCAACTCCCTACAATGTATGTAATCATTCTACGTCACAATCATGAACTAAAAAATAATAGTGCAAATAGGGGAGGGGATCTACAGATGGAGGGAGGGAGGAAAGTGGGGAGGGAAAGGGGGATAAAAAGAATAAAAATATGTTAAGTACATGTGACTCCTCCCTACGATGGATGTTAACATCATGTACAGCCAACATGTACTGATAAAAAAGTAAAACTATGAATGGTGCCCATCCCATGAGTAAAACCTCACATGATGCTTAATGAATGATAGCTATTAATAATTATGATTATTGATACATTAGGAATAACAGATTACAATCTTTGCTAAACAGTTTTCTTTCTTATGACATTTTTCTTACCATTGCCAGGTATTATTTAACTCTGTAAATGTGCTTGTTTTTCTTTTCTAACTGAATTATCATCTTCTAAAGGCAGAAGAAATGTACAGTACTGATACATAAACAATATTTGTTGAGTGAGTGATTGACTGCTCATATGCACTTTAACAGTATAGAAGAAAAAGTTTGTTAGAATATTCATCTAATATATATTCTGTCTCAACAGATAACTTCTCTACATGACAACTTAGAGAAAAAGCCAGAGCTACTTTTAAAAATCTCTCTTACAAACTGGTTTGAGTCTCTTGCTTTCACCAAATACTTTAAGTTTTTCTCTGGTAACTAGTAGCAACTTGCTTTTTACGCTCCATCCTGCTCACTCCTTAGAGGAATTATGATTTTGTAAGGAATGAATCATAGTCAGTAGCTGAGGAGGAAGGAGAAAAAGCAAAGGGCCTGCCCCCAATTTGTAGATTGGATAATCATTCCTTTAGCAATGACTAGTTTTCTATAATGGTTTCAGTAGCAGACACTTGACCTAGATCCATATGAAATGAAACCTTGGGGTTGCTTGGGTGATAAAAAAAGTTACTAATTTATGATTGAAGTATCTTCAAGTAGCTATTGGTGAGAAGCTTTCAGATGAACTTAGTGTTAGAATTTTAAAAATTCATTTGAGAAAGGAGAGCTTGTAGTTTTCCAGAATAGAAGAAAAGGCCATAGCCGGATGGAACATCTTAAAGCAGCCCAACGAGTGTGGATAAGAAACTACTGGGTAAAAGGCTTGGTGGATGCCTGTGGAGGAATTAAAGATGGAAGCAAGTCAGTCTAGTTAGGGTGATGTTGCAGTAAATAGAAAAGCTGTAGTGATGATAGGAGATAATATTAAGACTTAATGGGTAAATATCCATAAAGCTTTAAGAGCAGGATGTTACTTTCATTTGAGAGCGATAAAAAAGAGAAGACCCCATCAAAAATTGCTTGTGTCACTCACTTTGGAAGCTCATAAACAAAAATTACTCATGAGGGTGTCAAAGTGTAAGTCCTTTGAGGGTGCGTACTATTTGTATTTGCAAAGATGCACAATGGCCCTTTGATTTAAAGGGAAATTTATACTTTCTTCCCTTGTAGTAGAATTGCTTTACACAAAGTATATAATTTTTATTTATATCAGTCTACCATATCTTATAGGCTACTATTTTTTACTAAAGCAAATCATAGAAGTTGTTTTCTAAATATATGGTTGTAATGGTTTTAATAACATTTCTTTTTTAAATGGCTCAGGTGTCCAATTTCTTTAAATGCTGTTATCATTTCACAATTGTTTCATTTTAGAAATTGGTATTCTGGTCACACAAAACTCACTTAGAAAAAAAACTCCACAAACATCATATTGATCTTCAGATCTTCTCCATTAAGGAAAGTTAGTGTCTTTGATATTTAAAAAAAAAAATCCATTAGAAATATGCTTGGAAGTTCTTGAGCATAGTATACAGTCATCCTTTCCTCTGTATCAGTGGGAATTTGTTCAAGGAACCCCACAGACTTCAAAATTTGTTGATGCTCAAATCCCTTGTATAAAATGGCAATTTATTGCCTATAACCTAGGTACTTCTTCCTGTCCACTTTTAATCATATCTACATTCCTTATAGTACCTAATACAGTGTAACTGTTTCTATATTATTTATGGAATAATTGCAAAAAGAAGTTTGTTAGTGTTCAGTACAGACATAATTTCTTTTCTAATATTTTAGATCCGAGGTTCTTTTGAGTTTCCGGATGCAAAATCTGCAGATACAGCAAGGCACACATCTGATACACATCTGGAAATATTACAAGGAAGTTAGCTCTCAATCATTTATGTCTGTGGAGAAGATTGACATTGTAAATAATCAGAAATAGGTGATATCATAAAATGTTTTAGTATTTACTTTCATGTATACAATTGGAAGTGAGTCATTAGTTTTTATAGTCTTAATTATAATTTGCAGGTCAAGATAATGTTTTCATTCCTTGAAGACTTCCTGTTGGAATGCAGTTTGATGAAAATTCATGACTTTATTAATGACCTACTGTCCCTTGGCAGTAATTCTGGTTTTATGCACACACACACGCACATAAATATATGTGTGCAGTAAATTTGTAAATATTGTGTGGTCTTGGTATCCATTTTGAATTTAAGCTTATCTTTTACATATCAAAAGCCAGGCATGGTGGCTCTTGATGGTTTCCAGTTCTTGGTTTCCTCCCAGTTTCTCTAGGTGGTTATTCAAATTATCTGTCTCATACAACCCGCTCGTGGTGACTATTTCCTTACTGAACAGCTAAATACAACCTATTCGACTTGCCCCACTGACCTCCACACCCCATATGGACTATGTAATCAGCCATACTCTTCCCTCTCAGTCACAGTGTAATGCTATAGAGTTCTTACTTGCTTGTTGTAAACCAATCATTAGAACTCCTTGAGGAAACTTGCCTGGGTAACACCCTGGGCCCCACAAACGGTTTGGCTCACAGTCCTCCCTCATCCCCTGCCTTCTTGATTCACCGCAGACCGGATAAGCAGGAGTAACAGGGCAGCTGCCCCTACTCCATCGGTCCCATGAGTTGTGCTGCTGCCTTTTCTGTGGGATCCATAAACAATAACACTGCTTTTGTATTTTCAGGTGTTTCATTGAGCTGCCTCTTTGTCTATATGATCAACACACCTGACACTAACTTCTTTCCAGTCTAGGGAGAATGACCATCTTCACAGCCATAAACTGAACACAGGAGACAAGAGCCGTGAGGGTGTCTGGTGGTATAAACAACTATCCTGGAGAAGGGATATCTAGTCAGACACTTAGTCTTTAGGCTGTCATTCAGAATAAAGAAACACCCTATGATACACTCTAAACACCCACAACCATCTCCCCTGTAACCCTGACACTCTCCAGAGAGAGACTCCAACACGAGCTGGAGGGAGTCACAATCCTGTGGCAGTACAGTAGTCGCCCCTGTCCACAGTTGTGCTTTCCAGTATTGTGTTCCCCATAGTCAACCATGGTCTGAAAATATTCAATGAAAAATTATAGAAATTAACCATTCTTTAGTTTAAATTGCACTTTATTCTGAGTAGTATGAGGAGAACTGGTGTTGTCTGACTTTTTCTCATCTAGAGCACAAATCAGCCCTTTAGCCAGTCACAGGGTTTGTGTTCAAGTAACTCTTACTCAATGATTTCAAAGTGAAAGATTAGTCTTTTGGCAATTCAGTTATCCCAGCAAAAAGTCACAAAGTGCATCCTTGAAGCGAAAAGGTGAACATTTTCAATTTAAGAAAAGAAAAAAATGTATGTTGAATTTGCTAAGATCTATGGTAAGAATGAATCTTGTATTCATGAATTTATGAAGAAGGATAAAGAAATCAATGCTTCTTGTATACAATGTAACTGCTTTATGATACATAGTAGTGACCATGCTTTATCAGAGCTATATTTAATGATATTACTCTAGAATGTTCTCTTTCCAGATGATGATTATAAGGTG